AACGGAAATTTTCATGCATTTGCCAAAGTGATGCTGTGCAGTTCCCACATAGGTAGTTGTATACTATAAACCTGTAGAAGTACAAACGTAAATTCTCAGCTCTCTACAAGCTTCACTTCTCGAGAAATTTGAATTTTAGCTTGGACCACATAGCTAGGGAAAGCTATATTCGGTATTTCTCGAGAACTAAAGCTTGTAGAGAGCTGAAAATCTAAGTCTGTACCTCTACGGGCTTGTGGTGTACAACTACCTATGCGGGGATGGCTCAGCATCACTTTGGCAGATGCACGAAAATTTCCGTTTTCTTGGTTTCTAACAGAGAAAAAAATGCGGCAAAGGCGTATATAGATGTTTTATGTGGATGGTGTTTACGTGAACAAGTGAGAATTTTTGTAGGATTTCTATGAGCTGAGTTACGATTTTTTTCAATTTTTCGGGTAGTTGAATCTTTTTAGTTTTTGGCTCGAAACTCGTGGTGGATCAGAGCTGTTGCAAAAGCAAGATAGCCATCTTGTAGAGCTTGCTTTGCTCTATCGAACAGTACTTTGCAACCTATTCAGAAATGAGAAGTCTATGACTTATTGCCGTTGAAATTTAAAACGGGCATTAATTTCCGGACAACCTAATAACTGATTCTGAATATTCTATTCAGCGCAACGCCTGGCATACCCCTAGATGTGTACTTCTTTCTATTCTTCAAAGCGAAGTACAAATGCTTCAATTTTCATGTGGCACATAATCTTGATTTCGTCGTACAGAGTCGCGATCTTTGAGGCTTTTGTCGCCCATAATATCATCAATTTTGAACCCCTTTAAATTTTTTTTGCATAATCTTGGTGTGTGAACGGGTATTTCAATGAACATCTGGTGGTATTTGAAACGGCACTCCATTATTGGTTCCCTGTTATCTTAATAGGTACCTCCGAGTATGAGAATTGAAGTTGAGGTCAGAGCTTTTCTTCATAAGGTGTTCCCATTTTGAGAAATGCATGTGTTTCGTCCACTCAATTTCTCATCACCTCTGTGCTTAAATAATTTGCGAAAAAAAAACAAGCCTCACAATCAACAAGTAGTTCCGCCGGAAAATTTCTTTTCAGGTCATATATGCTAAAGGCACTACAGCAAGTGTCTGCAAACGATTGAGTATTTGGTAAACTCACGCTAACGATGCAAAATGGTTTGCTCTCTACTAAATTTAAACCGTCAACCTCTCGCCTTCAACGCAGCAGCTAACCACTACATAATGTGCCACCAACGCACGTAGCAGCGCCCTTAAACTCGGGGAGCGCCTCAAAACAGGATATTTAAGCTTACATAACTCTCTTCAGAAGGGCGCTCCGCAGAAAAGGAAAGCAGATTTAAAATCAGTGTTCTTCGGAGCTGCTTCAGATGATATGCATCTCGTATCAAACGACCATGGCCATTTAAAGTGCTTCCCTTGTGAGTAAGCCCCCCTCCCTCTTATAAAGCTCATTTATTAGGTTGGCACATAAGTTTTGCAACTTTTCCCGTAACTTTTTTCCTATTTTATATAGCAATCTCATTTTGTGGCATCATGCAGATCTTGATGTAAGCTGCAAGTTTGCGTAAACAGTTTGATTTTTGATAACGTAGTACAAATAATCTAAGCATTTTTTGAAAACTGCTAAAAATCGAGGTTTCACGATTTTTCGGCAAACATGAAGCCCTACGAAACTTGATTCAAACATATGAAAAAGCAATTATAGGCAGCATGTAGCCTGGAAGTTGGCACATTGGAATCAGTGAAGAAATAAAATTTTAACACAAATTAAGGTGGGGCGCCTTTGAGAAGTTGAACAAGTCAAATGCGTCTAGTTTTGAAGGCAGTTTGTCGATAACTAAGCTGCGAAAAGTCAGAATTCGCTATAACTTTGCACTATAGGGTAATCCTATGCGTAGACACGAATATCATATTCATTTGTCGTTAAAATGAAATTCATCTTTTGATCTTACGAGCGAGGCCTTTTCATGCGAAACGGATCTCATTTTTGTGATCAGCATGTCAAATAAGCCCTATAGGCCAAGTTTCAGCAAAATCTTGCATTCTAAAATTCTCCCCATAGTACCGTAAACCTACCGTACCCCTCACATAAAATGGTAAAATTCGGCAAGAATGTGTGCATTAGAAGCTTACATCATATTTCTTATATTGCCAAAAAATGAATGCGCTACGTTCAGATAGACAAAAGTTATATAAAAAGTTGCATTACTTATGTGCCAACCTAATATGTGACGTTTACACAATTGTTCTATTATATTATTCCTAGACACATTCTAACCCAAACGGGAACGGGCTGGCACACGGAGTAGATTTGATCATATGCAGCAGGCTAATGTTTCGCGCTACACGAGAGCACAGAACATTGCCGTAGACACGAAAAGAATGGCCGTCAGGGCATCTCTCTTGAGGCGGACCGGAGTTGATCTCATCGTGCCTCAGCACATTGTTAGGGGAGCAATCGATTTGGAGCAGATTACTTACTGGACGTTCGCGTTTTCAAAGATTGCATTATTAGTCAAATGGATAAGACTAATGCGCTTCAAGCCACAAAGTCATGGTTCGAGTGCGGCTAGCTGCACCATTTTTGTTACTTGGTCTGGCGATCTTTGATAGCGGTCGTTATCGGAAAATCGATGATAACAGCTACCAGATTTCACCTAGCAAACAACGAGATAAAACAAATATACAATACCTTATTTTCCGGAGTAAAGCCGCAGCGACCAATGGCGCGAAAGCGCCTTTGAAAAGGGCGATATAGCAAATTGAAAACTCGGTGCGTTCTAGTACGGATAGTCATGTCTTCACTTTTTTCTTTTTCATATGACTTTGCAGGTGTTTAGGTTGTGTTTTCTTTCCTAAATGATACTACTGGTTGACTGTGCTTTCCTTTTTTCAATGATGTTACTGGTGCTAAAGTTGTGCTTTCTTTTATTTTGATTTACCGGTTTGAAGCTTATCACCTTTCGATTCCATTACTACTGGTACTACTGGTATTCGAACGTTCTTCAATTGTTCAGCAGATTCTTGAAGAATAAAATAAATAAATAAAATAAATGCGGCTTATGCTCCGGAAAATAGGGTAATTTGGCACTCATACAAAGAAAAATTACACTTGGCAAATCTGAAGCGGTTTTTCCGTAAAAAACGTGTATCATCTGTATGAAAAATGCAAGAAAACTTTTTTTCGATTTCGTCGCGCAATCAGCTGTTCATCGATCCTCACTCACTTAGGCGCCCGAAATTGTGCAGTTTTGGGAGTTTTGCACCGCAAAAGAATGTCAGCTACGATGTTTCGTAAGTTACTCGGGAGCAACTTACGGAGGTTTTCTCTATGCTCTCCTCTTTAGCACAGTATTTACCTTATGCCGTCGCCCGGCTCATCTCTGATAACTCGGTCGGAAGCTGATCTCCCTGCCGGCTTCATCTGAAGCTCACCTGTAAGGTGACCTTGCATACTTGCCCCACGGAAAGGTAGGCAGTCCTCATCTCACCCGACAAAGCCTCATACGAGGGCCTCAGTGGAGATCATCTCCCGTGACCGAGCTTGTTTACGGGCCAATGAGTAGGGATAGGATACTAGACCCAACAGGAACATCTACAACAACCGTAAACGTGACGTAAAAGCCTGGTGATGCGGATGTAGTCGAGGCAATCAATCGCATTTGTTCTAATCCGGATTGAGCAGTATACAAAGAAACTAAATGCTAACCCCTTTTCACAAGCTTCTTCCTTGGAATCTTATATATAAAGCTGAATGTCTGTTTTTGTGTCTGTCTGTCTGTCTGTCTGTCTGTCTGTATGTATGTCTGTTTGTGTGTACGTATGTTCCGAATAGAAAATTCCATTTCTGAACCGATCGGGACCAAACTTGGCACACATACACTTCGGGCCCCGGCGGGTGTCATAGGCTACTTTTCGTATCGATCGATATCGATTTTATCGATTTTTTGCAAAATTTGAGCTACGGGGCTGGAAGTTGGCACAGGGGTGTAAGTGAGCATGGGGATTCCGAATACAATATTAGTTCTTGAAATCGTGCATTACTTTTAACGATTTTATCGATTTTTTGCAAAATTTGAGCTAGGGGGCTGGGAGTTGGCACAGGGGGTAATCGAGCATGCTGATCACCCCCGTGGGGCGCAAAATCGACATCGATCGATAACGAAAAGTGGACTGTGACACCCGCCGGGGCCCGAAGGGTATGTGTGCCAAGTTTGGTCCGGATCGGTTAAGAAATGGAATTTTCTATTCAGAACATACGGCGGAGCCGGGTAAGCCAGCTAGTCTCTCATAAAATTCATGCTCAGCTAACAATAACTCGGATAATCGCGGGGGGCAGGCGGCCATGCGAATTTTGAGCAAGCGGGCACCGGAAAAATAGTTCGCTGATTTCTTGCGGCAAGTTTGCAGAAATGTGAAGGAACGTTGACCAATTTTCAAATGAATGCTCGGAAAACTATCGCGGTTTTTCTATAGATTATTTGCGGCGCATTGGCCGCATTCTCGCGGACTTTCCGCGAGAATATGCAAAATTATTGAGGGCCGCGCGGTCCTTTGTGGAGGACCGCACAGTCCTCAGGTACTTTCCACTAAGAGAAAGTACCTCAAACTTGAGTAACTAAACGATCGATGACACCTCTGCCACATAAAGTCTCACGTTTGCTCGACGTACCCCCAAAACTGCTTAAAAAGAATCCGAGCGCCTGCTGAAAGTTTGGCCAGCGCTCGCCGAAAGGGATTATTTGAGGAGCGCCGCAGATAACTCTGTAGTTTGCCCCGCTAGCAGGACATTCGATAGTAAAGGAGGTACCGCCTGAAGGTATGGCCACGCCCCAAAATTCTGCTGACCGCCTGCCCCCCGCGATTATCTGAGAAGGCGCTGCTATACACCAGCGCACAAAAATTTGGTGTTTAAGTAGAAGTATCGAGCCAAGAAAGGCAGTTTTGCGTGTTTTCAGATGATGTTACAAACACAGGACTATATCAGAGTAATGAAGATGTTCGATGGTTGCTTACCCAGTCGCTTAAATCTTTCCACTGCGTCTGCTGTGGTTTGTATATTGGGGATAACTGTATCCACGCCTGTAATAATCTGTGATGTATTAATATCACTTACAATAATTGAATAATGTTTGCATTGACAAATTCTTTTCTGAGTGGAGGATAGCTTCAACTGTATTTTTTATGTTAATTCATAAGAACGAAACTCGGCTAATTCGGGAAGTCATATAACTGTCATAGTTGCTACAAAGCTGGGAACATTGCATGCCAACATCAATAATCTGCTTTGCAGTTTCCAACATCTTGAAAATTGCGGGAAGAGTGAACTCACAAGGGAATGGTCAGAAGTCGAAGTGGCCAATCCATACAAGCTGCATATCATTCGATGCAGCATAAAATGCTGATTTCAAATCTGTCTTCATTTGCAGAGCGCCTTTGTAGGCGAAGTATGAGCAGCTTTACTGCGAAAAACCGTGTACAAAAATCGGGAAATTAGGCACATTATTGCTCTTTCAGCTCACCTCTAGGTACGGGTCATAAGAAGTGCTCTAGTTGCATGTTTTGATCCAACACTAACCGAGAATGGCTTTGTACGACCAAGTTTGCACTTTAACGCACAATTTCTTAGCAAAATAATGGCATTGAACGGCTTATAATTTACAAAAGCGCTCTGCGAATAAGGAAAACAGATTTAGAGTCAGCGTTTTATGCTGCATCTAATGTTTCGCAGCTTGTATGGAATGGCCATTTCGCTTCTGACCATTCGCTTGTCAGCATGTCAGGGGGTCTGCTCGTAGAAACAAAACTTACTTACTTTTATCATACCTTTGATAGTATAGAGAAAGGTCATCAAAAATGAAGATTGTTCGAATATCTACTCCTAATAAAAGTGAAGGTTGTTTATAGATCAGAAGAATAGAATCAGAGAAGAATAAAGATGCAAAACAAGTAGCAGAAGCACCAAAAAAACCGGAGAAACGCTACAACGAGTTTGATATCTTTGATTTGGCGGCATTTTGAAGTGCAGGTTTTCGCTCCAGGACCAGGCAAGACCACAAAACGAGACAACGAGGGAAAGCTAATTTCTTCTCTGTGATTGTTTCAAAAATAATCATGTTCGAGAAGTGATGATTATTAAGAAGAATAAAAACAAGAAAAGCATTAATTATAAAGTTGATTTTACGAACTCGAAGTGCACTTCAAAGCTAGTCTAGCTTCTAATGCTGGCTCTAAATTTTTACCCCCTCCCCTTCCATTAACGTTCCTAATTCCTGAGAAATCGTCTGAACTGTTGCGTTTCGGCCCATGTAGGGAAAAATCGCTGCGAAATGATCAAAGAGAATAGGTTGAAGATAAACGCTTTTTTTACATCCTTATTCTTCGCTTCGACATCCACAATATTCTTGGTTGACATCGGTGGCTGCGTCGACGAGTTCCAGGTGCGAATCGCATTCAGCTGATTTCTCAGCTGGTCCATCCGTGCCACAAGCACGTCTGCCCAACTCGTTGGCGGTCTTCGTCGGGGACGTTTTGCTTTGCGAAGAATCCACTCTAGTGTTTTTAAAGTCCATTATGTTTGTCCATGCGGCCAGCCCATCGATGCTTCGCTTTCGCAACGTATTCTACTGGGTCACGAAGACGAGACATTTTTCTTATATCCGTATTGCAAAATCCGACAAAATGTTGTTTGTGTCGAGTCATCGTTAGCTGCGGCGCACGCCGCAGGACGCAGCAGCCTGCCGCAGCACGCGGCAGCACGCAGCAGAACGCCGCGTCCTCCGGCGGGCGCCGCTGCAGTCGCTGTGAAAATATAAGTTCGCTCGCTGTGAAGGAACCTTGTGGAGAATACGAACGTGAAGCAAATATAGATGTACATCCATAACCGGTGAAGGTGTGCTGCCGTGAGCGTATATTTTCTCTGCGACTTCAGCGGGGAACTCTTTGTGAGTGGTTCGTATAGTAAGCTTCAGCTCAATCTAGGCTGGAATTGGGCTGGTGGGAGTCCGCTTCAACAATTCGCGCCGCTTGCAGTCTGCGTCTCTTCATTTCAATCCATCACGCTGAGCCAGTGGCGGTGCGCATTCGCAGCTTCACTCGGAAATTCAACTACTTCTGGTTGAAAAAGACTGCAAAGCTTTCGACAAACTGCACTGTCAGCGCGTCTTAGCAGCTAGCGGAGCGCCAAAAGGACGGTTAAGTCAAGAGATGGGCTCAAAGCTCCGGTTCCGTTGGTTGGTCGGTGCTTCGTTGAGAGACCCGAGGGTGGCCCAGGCTGCTTTTCTTCTCTGCTGAGCTCTCCCCTTTAGTCATTCTCCATGTTCACCGAACGTCCAGGATGTAAGAAAATGTCATGATAGGGATGCCTTCCAATTCCATTCCCGCATCTTCGAAAGGGGGCGTTCTTCATAAACTTCTTCTGTTTTATTAGCATCTGATTTTCTTCCTTACTTCGTTCAGTTACCTTAGCATAGTTTCTGCTCCAGTAAAACTGCTCGAAGTTTCGGCAAGATAGTAACACCTTGTCGGACTCCCTCCCCAGATCCTCCACAGATAGGGTGGTCAGAGGCGATGGAATAGCTACATCGTTGTTGTACACTTCTTGTAGCAGACGACTAATGTCCTTGTGTGAGCTGGGTCCAGTCCTTGATCGAATAACGCTGACAGATGGCTTGAAGTTGCTCATTGGTCGGCAATCGCCTTCAGCAGGTAGAATTCGTGGCGGTACTTCTCCAGTGGGAATAACGGGCATCGGCACGGGTGCTGATGAGCGGAAAAGGTTGGTGCAGAAGTTCTTCGCGATAGATTCCATCTGGTATTGGGAAGAAATCGGAGTCCCGTCTTCGTTCAATAGTACCGCCAGCGGTACGTGATCTTCACAGAGGTCTCTTCAGCACTTCTTGAGATTTCGTCTTCCCTCGGCTGCTTCCAGTATCTTGGCTTGCCTACTTCCAGAAATCCTTCTGCAAAGCTGTTCTGCAACTGGCGTTGACTATCGGTCGCTTGAGATCGGTTGCATTCGGATCCTGCTTCAGAAATCTTCTTCTTTCAAGCAGTTCCTTGGTGGTCTTCGATGCGATCCAAGATCTTCTCGGTCACTAAAGTGCACTTTTTGCAGGCTGGCAATTTGAAATCTGAAGTGTTAAATACGTAACGGGAAATGAAAATACTGCTATCGTAAGTATCTTACAAGGGAAGTTCGCTTGGTCGAAGTGGTGACTCAAAAGATCATTTATACCTACGAGTAGAGCATAAAACGCTGACCTAAAATATAGTTAATATTCACGAAGCGTTTTCCTACAGAGGGTTAGGTCCTTTTTGTAAGTGGAAGTATGGCCTAGGAGGAAAATGAAATGACGAGACGACCTGTGGGGACAACAGTCGAAACCCGAAGAACTCAAATGCTTGTTAGGTGCTTTGCATGAGCCTGCATACTTTTGTTGAATACTACCTTTACGCACGAAAATTTGGCGTGAGAAAAGCTTATGACTTTTTTAGAGAAGCGCAATATAGAAAGGATACTGACGTAACCGTTCGAAGCTCTACCTACTGGTATAATTCGCCATCCGAATCGCCATTCGACTGAGCGAGAACCTCCCTTGTTAGTCTGGAAAAAGGACAGTCTTTAATCGCGTGAGTTGCAGGCAAGTCGGCGTTTCGCATGAGAACGTGTGCTAAAAGGATTGTAAATATCCGCGGAGCGTGAGGGAAGCAGAGTGGCGTTACGGAAGCCGCATATATTGAACTTGATATCGAATGCAAGAATGGTTAGCCGTCTTTTTGCGAAGGTCCTGCCTACTTGATAACGGTATATGTTGAGTTTAGAATGGCTGTTAGTAATAATTACATTCTGCACCTTTGGCTGCCGTTGAGGTGAATGATCGTCTCCACGATTCGTGTAGAGGTGTATTGCAGATTTTGCCTGATAACACAGGTAAACTTGTTGAACCTCCACATCATAGCATTGTTTTTTGTACTCTCTCGCTATCAAAAACCGCCGCGCTTTGAGTTGGCAAAACACCGCCTCTACACGAATCGTGAAACCGATGATACATATATTCGTATTTTCATTAAGTTTGCATGGTCAATTTAACAGACTTGGAATGCGAAGGTTAGGGCGATTGAGCTCCCAACGGTCTAGAGATAGCTTTGACGATATCATATACTCAACCGAGTGGCACAAAATATCGATCAAGTTGACTATGCGGAAAAAATATTTTTCACAGAATTTCAAGATACACACTGATGTTTGATGTATACAAAGTTAACTCACTTCCATAGGTCGCGATGCTCTGCTTGGATTTGATGTTATTTATTGTTAACTTCATCTAAAATATAAATCGGTGTCATTTGAAACAAACTCTCACTAAAGTGAAGCATCAATTTACTCTTCTGCGCTTGTGCAAATAGTGTCCAAGTATCACAGTAAGAATATATACAACATAAAGAGCCAAATAACCTTAAGATCCATTAAAGGGAAGGTTATTGCAAAGGAATAAATGCATACCAGCTGGTTCCCAGATATAGACCTTTGTGCTGAATAGAAAAACAAGCGTCATGCAAGCTGCTATGAGAAAGAATATCAGGTTACGAATGGTCGAAAGTACATCAGCTTTGAACGGCATGATGAGTATAATTGCGGCAGTGACCACAGATGTGTCAAATATGCCAGCTCCTAAAAACTTCCTACTTTATGCGGAGACAAAAACATAAAGTTAACTATTGTATTTTAGTTCTGCTATCACATGAGTGGCATTTGGAATAAATAAAACCGCTTGTTACAAGTCCTTTTATCTTGAAACCTGGGCATGTTGTAGACAAATTCAGTATTCTTTCTTTGCCGGACAGGTTTGTTACGGTAGCAACTTTATTGCCTTACGTTTCGGCCACACGCCGTCTTCAGAGGCCTGAAAGGAGGCAGTCACAATGATGTCCGCTATTGGCCGCCAAACCTCTCCTCTCACTCGTACATTCGATTCATCTAGTGTAGAGAAAGCTGATCTGGCGTTGATTCGTACTCACCAGTGTACTACCGATATTGCAGTATGCGACTGCTTTAGACGAGCTCTTTCGATTGTGGTGACAAACAAATGAGCAGCGTGCATGGCACCGAACTGCTTATATACGTATAGACATACTAAAGCTCGCAAAACGGAAGATATGGCATAAGATCAGCGGTCACGGATAACTGTTCATTCTTGCTGTTCATTTTAGGGTCGCGCACAAGAATGAATGATGCTTCCATTGCCTTTCGCGCAGAAATTTGGCTTTCGTACGCTAATATCGTGCACCTTATATCATAGTCAAGACCGCCGTGCTCTACCTTTCTATGTTTTCCTAATGGGCTCATCGTGTTCTGCTTTCTTTTGCTGGACAGATGTTCATTTATACGCACGCTCAATGGTCGGCCGGTCTCACCAATGTAGGTGGCGAAGCATTTCAAACACTGAATTTCGTAAACTACACCACATTTTGTACAATCGCCAACCCTTCCGTAGGGGCAGATCACGCAATCCTGTGAGTTGCAATATTTGTCGTATAGTCTGTTGCGGACTAATTGCGTCTTCATATTGTCTCGAGGAATATTCACAAGAATTACGTCATTCTCGAGGTTTGCTCGTATCAGGCATTGCTTGACAGCCATAGAGAATTTTTCGGAGATGAAGGGCAGGCATAGGGGTACCTTGTTGGTTACCTGATCTTTTGACCTTGCCTTTGCCTTTCTCCGTTTGGGTCGTTGTACATAACCATTCGATTTCATTATGTCGGCCGCCATTTGTAGAGACTCTTGCTTTTCAAGTTCACCGCTACTGATGTTCGTTGCCGTTTTCAGCATATTGCGAATAATGGCACGTTTAACGGCTGCGGGATGGGCGGATTGAGCATGCAAGATTATGTTTTTATTACTTTCTTTGCGGTACCATTTGGTGCACACCGAGCCATTTACAAAAGTCAACTGCGTATTCAAGAAGGCCAACCAACCGTTTCGAGGTTCCTCTCGTGTCAGACTTATGTACTTTGACTGTTGATTGAGAATTTTAAAGCATTCGTCCATTTCGGACTGTGTTGTTGTAACAATGCAACAGTCGTCTATATAGCGACAGTACATAAGTGGATTTCTGAGTAGCACTGGGTGTTCTATTTTGCTCATGAAGCAAATCGCTAGAACGGGTGCTAATCGTTGACCCATCGCCAAACCGCGAAGTTGTGCGTAGTACCGTCCCGACCTCTAAACACGTTGCAATTCAAGCACTCCTTGATTAATGTCATGATACGTGCTTTACTCAGACCATATGTCGATATAGATGTGATATGTGAATCTAACATCTCGGATAGTGCTTGTAAAGCATTTTCATTGGATACGTTTGTATACAATGATTTCACGTCAAATGACTCAAACGCGCAATCTTGACTAAATTTCGTTTGCCGCAGAAGATCAAGGAAGTGATTGGTGTTGATTAGGTGAGCCGGTATTCTGTTCAGAAGTTGGGTGACGATTTTGTTGAGGAACCAGGAGATGCGATCAGTTGGCCCGTTGGTGCAGCTGATAATTGGTCTTATTTTGTATGTCTCAGCGGTCATTGAATGCATATCCGCCAAAGAAAGTTTGTGTGTTTTGACCAGACTATAGAACACAGGGCACGATGGTGTTTCTATCTTGAGTCGACTCAAGATAGAAACACCATCGTGCCCTGTGTTCTATAGTCTGGTCAAAACACACAAACTTTCTTTGGCGGATATGCATTCAATGACCGCTGAGACATACAAAATAAGACCAATTATCAGCTGCACCAACGGGCCAACTGATCGCATCTCCTGGTTCCTCAACAAAATCGTCACCCAACCTCTGAACAGAATACCGGCTCACCTAATCAACACCAATCACTTCCTTGATCTTCTGCGGCAAACGAAATTTAGTCAAGATTGCGCGTTTGAGTCATTTGACGTGAAATCATTGTATACAAACGTATCCAATGAAAATGCTTTACAAGCACTATCCGAGATGTTAGATTCACATATCACATCTATATCGACATATGGTCTGAGTAAAGCACGTATCATGACATTAATCAAGGAGTGCTTGAATTGCAACGTGTTTAGATGGTCGGGACGGTACTACGCACAACTTCGCGGTTTGGCGATGGGTCAACGATTAGCACCCGTTTTAGCGATTTGCTTCATGAGCAAAATAGAACACCCAGTGCTACTCAGTGGCCGTATTCATCAACGAACCCTCGAGGTTAAAAGTTACCTCAGCTAGCATTTTAGTTTATAACCCGTATTCACAACATGATCGCAATGAAATTCTCTCATGGGTTAAGTCTACCTTGAGGTAGAAATGAACCTTTAAACGCATAAACCCGTATTCATCATTCTACCTTGAGGTTGAATTTTACCTCAATCATCATTTCTCCACTAACTTTCTATTATGCATCCAAGGTAGAATTTAACCCTAGGATAGCTAGGGTTAAAATCTACCTTGAATTTGCACATAAGAGTTGAACTCTTTATAAGGACCCCTTCATTCTAATTTCTGAGGACCTTATTCTGACGCAACCGTTTTCAAGGACGAATATATTATATCAATACTAGCTCAAATTTCACTTGTTTACTTATTAGGTCGTTCCGAAAGTAATGTCGCTTTTTTCAAGTGAACGCTACAATTCGTGGAAGCAAGATTTCTAGGAGATCTTAGAAGCATTCGATGCAGCATTTCATCCTCTTTCTAATGGCCGTAAATTGATTGCACAATATTTAATAAGCTCCCGAAAATTTACCAGAATCTTCGACTCATGTTTTTTGTTATGGTCAAGTTCGGCTATTTTTCTAAATTTTGTACCTACTCTCCGGAGAAGTGCAAGTGACATATAAATAAAGCAAACCCTATAGGATGCGAAACTACTTTTTTCTTTTCCTTAACTCGCCTCCTCGAATTTCTAAAACCAATTTTTTAATGCTATCAAATTCCACGTTTAGTCAACTAAAACCTCACAGAACAATAATCGGCAAGCTACTCGGGTGTCATTCGACGCAGCTTTTTCTCCTCTTTCTGCCAGTCGTTTTTAGTTTCCTATTCATCATGTTTTTTGGGATAAAATCATATAAATCACGTTTTCCAAGGCGCCTCAGGCTGTACCCTGAAATTTCGAAAATTGCTAATCTGAAGCGGTGAATGCTCATTTGGTTTGCAAAAATAGTGTCAAACCATAATCCATCTTTGTAAGTTTTAAAATCCGTGGATTTATTGGTGTTTGATGCATTTACGTCTGAGACGAGCCTGTTAAAATCCCGTGGTTCCATCAAAAAATCTATACAAAAACTATGGCGAGCTGTGCTAAGTAAAAAAAAATTGTGCTGTTTCTTGTAAGGTGTTCTCTATCCATCCATTATTTGGACTCCTTCCGAGAGTTGTTATAAAAATTTTAAAAAATTGTGAAACTTGGCTTTCTCAAAAAGCATGGGTCGCAGATTTTGATAATTTTTCGAGAGCTTATCCAATTTTGTGCAGCGCTTATATAACCATTAGAAAGAGAATGAAATTCTACATCAAATGTTACCAGAACCTTTCACATATCTTTATTCCACGAGATGTGGCGTACGTCTGAAAAAAGCGACATTACTTTCGGAACGACCTAATACAAGGAAACCTTTTTTTGTCGAAGTTACCTTTTTAGATGGGAATGTATAAGTTTAGCAGAAAACATTCCAAATCTGTCTTTTTATTTGTGGAACGTTCCTTGACGAGGAGTTGTGAGCGTTTATTGCAGCATGAATTTACATATACATTTAGGATGGAGTTGCTAAATCTCACTAGTCCTCAAATAAAGCAATAATTGTAAGACATATTAGGCTGGATACTAAGTTTTGCACCTAGTTTCATAAATTCAACCTCTTTAGTTATGGCGCATTCAAACTTTGGCAATATGTAAAGAGTAATATGTGACACAACTGCGCGCAGATTGCTCAAATTTTGACATGAAATAGGAAAGTTTCAGGCATTTTTCGAAAACTAGTAAATTTTGAGAATTTCTGGAGTTTCAAGCTGAAATGAAGCCGTTACCAGCCTAGACCATGCGCAGTGATCCGGAATCGTTTACGAATTATGGCTAGTAGTTGACTCATTGGCTTAGTAAGAAATAAACAAAATTTAGGGGAGTCGACATTTGGCGCCCCCACAAAGTCGACCAAGTCCGCAAGCGCTGCTGGGGACGACCGCCAATGACTAAAGAGTCAGAAGCTCAATTTTTGCCGAGACTTGACATAAGGCTACTTGACCTACCAGATGCGAATATCATATTCATTGGTTATATAACGCCTCTTTCTTTGTTCAGGGTGGGACCCTATATAACAAACTTACAGTAACCTTACAAAAAAGCCTTTATCACGCAAAGTCATTATCATTTTTGTGATCAGCATTCTGTCATATTTTATATTTTTTCATTTTATACCATATACTTAGCTTAACCCTCATCGTGAAGCTAGTATATGGCAGAACAGCAGCTGCGCTTGTAGCTTACGTCACAGCCTACACAATCGCAAAATTTGAGTGCATATGTCGAGAGAGAGGAAAGCATTAAATGAGTTGCAAAACTTAGTTTCCAACTATTTGATTACTGGAGTATCTATTAAATAAAGTACTTTAATGATTATCATTGTTCCATTGAAGCGCTAGAAAATTTATTGCAACCATTTTTGTCCTACTTGCACATCCAATTTCCGCTCCAAAAAACGCTCATACTTTGTCCATAAATTCCGCAGCTAAGGAAAACAGTGGCATCAGCGTTCTAAGCCCTTTAACATGGTATCAGAGCCCAGCACGACGGTGGCAAACAGACACCCGTGAAACGACTTCGCCTTTGCCACTATCGATTCTTATGATTTCCCGCTTGATCTCGCCAGTTGCGTAGGTTGTTCGATTGGGCGATTCCCTCCTTAAAAGAACCGGCGTCGTGCTGTTCCGGATTCTAACAAAGAGGCGGGGAGGAGTTTTGGGACCAAAGTTTGACATACTAAACTATAAGAGTGAAACAGAGTTATGTAAAAATTTCGAAAACTTATGTGAATCTTTGCGGTATTTGCGTTTCATATGATACAGCTCAATTCTAACTCTACTTATACTCTGATGGCCATAAAGCCTGTTCTTCTTCCTAGTGTACACGGTGTCCCAAATGTAAGTACTCACTCTTTGATCGTTGGTAACTCTCTACTCAAGAAGCCTTTTGCTTAGCTGCAAGTACCATGCAGTAGTGCAGGCTTCAACTTAGGTTTATAGTATGGAGCAAAACACCTATGGCTCTTAATTGCTGTAAGATCGGTAGGAAGATATACAGCGCCATTTTGAAATAGGCCAGCAAGAAAAGCTTCCAAAAAGCTGGAAAGTTGTGTAGCAGTGTTTCAGAAGTGCTAACACCATTAGACAACCTTGCTGAGAGTTTTTACGCGTTCCAATTGGTTCAGATTTTGAAGCACTGAAAAAAGGCAACTGCGGTTTACTTGGCATAAGTTATGAAAAAAAGCCTTCTGGTAAATTGGAAACTTTACATTCATGATCAGCGACTCTGTTTAATCTTGTGGTAAAGTTTTCAGCTTGCTGAGTGTCCATTTTGGGCCAAAATTCATACATTTTCAACCATCAATGTATATTTTTTTTATAAAGTTGATAGGAAGTTAAGGAGGGTTTTAACTTTGTTTGAAACCCTCTTCAATTTCTATTGTAATACTACAGTAATGAAGAGTTATAGGTGCTTCGCTCCATACCAGCAATCTAAGTTCAAGCCTGCTCTACTGGATGGCTGTTCAATCTAACCGAAAGACTTTGTGTGAGAAGAGATATTAACGATTAAAAAGTGTGTACCAACATTTGAGACAACCCTGTATCAATTGCCACGTTCAATCATGTTGAAACATGATTGCTCACTTCCTCAGAAGACTTTCCTGCCAAAACATGGTAACGTGCACCTACAAGATGTACGGCATTATCAACATGGCAGTCGGAAAATCACTAGCAGTAGAAGATTTCATGCACCGCTGATACGTCATGGCATGTTCCGAATAAACGTCAGTGAGTACTCTGTTGACTACCAGGTAGATTTTGACCTCAAGGTAGATTTGTGAATAGCAAAGTTACCTTGAGGTTAAAATCTACCTTGAGACGTGCTCTCAAGGTAAAATGTAACCTCAAGGTTCGTTGATGAATACGGCCACAGAAATCCACTTATGTACTGTCGCTATATAGACGACTGTTGCATTGTTACAACAACACAGTCCGAAATGGACGAATGCTTTAAAATTCTCAATCAACAGTCAAAGTACATAAGTCTGACACGAGAGGAACCTCGAAACGGTTGGTTGGCCTTCTTGAATACGCAGTTGACTTTTGTAAATGGCTCGGTGTGCACCAAATGGTACCGCAAAGAAAGTAATAAAAACATAATCTTGCATGCTCAATCCGCCCATCCCGCAGCCGTTAAACGTGCCATTATTCGCAATATGCTGAAAACGGCAACGAACATCAGTAGCGGTGAACTTGAAAAGCAAGAGTCTCTACAAATGGCGGCCGACATAATGAAATCGAATGGTTATGTACAACGACCCAAACGGAGAAAGGCAAAGGCAAGGTCAAAAGATCAGGTAACCAACAAGGTACCCCTATGCCTGCCCTTCATCTCCGAAAAATTCTCTATGGCTGTCAAGCAATGCCTGATACGAGCAAACCTCGAGAATGACGTAATTCTTGTGAATATTCCTCGAGACAATATGAAGACGCAATTAGTCCGCAACAGACTATACGACAAATATTGCAACTCACAGGATTGCGTGATCTGCCCCTACGGAAGGGTTGGCGATTGTACAAAATGTGGTGTAGTTTACGAAATTCAGTGTTTGAAATGCTTCGCCACCTACATTGGTGAGACCGGCCGACCATTGAGCGTGCGTATAAATGAACATCTGTCCAGCAAAAGAAAGCAGAACACGATGAGCCCATTAGGAAAACATAGAAAGGTAGAGCACGGCGGTCTTGACTATGATATAAGGTGCACGATATTAGCGTACGAAAGCCAAATTTCTGCGCGAAAGGCAATGGAAGCATCATTCATTCTTGTGCGCGACCCTAAAATGAACAGCAAGAATGAACAGTTATCCGTGACCGCTGATCTTATGCCATATCTTCCGTTTTGCGAGCTTTAGATTGTCTATCATGACTTATAATAAGTGGCTTAATCTGAAGTTGTGTGGAGTTTGTCCGTTACGAAATTACAGTGAGGAATGATTTACGATACTAAACATCATGTGAGGTTAAGATAGCGAGTATGGTTCATTTTTAACTACGGCTCACTTTGCAATAAACCGAACAATGATTTGAGAGACAAGCTCTCAGAAAGTGAGTTTACCACGATTCACGATGCCAGTGCGAACCTCTGCGAAGCAGAGGTGAAGCACTGGTACGTATATAAGCAGTTCGGTGCCATGCACGCTGCTCATTTGTTTGTCACCACAATCGAAAGAGCTCGTCTAAAGCAGTTGCATACTGCAATATCGGTAGTACACTGGTGAGTACGAATCAACGCCAGATCAGCTTTCTCTACACTAGATGAATCGAATGTACGAGTGAGAGGAGAGGTTTGGCGGCCAATAGCGGACATCATTGTGACTGCCTCCTTTCAGGCCTCTGAAGACGGCGTGTGGCCGAAACGTAAGGCAATAAAGTTGCTAAACAAACCTGTACGGCAAAGAAAGAATACTGAATTTGTCTAAAACCGCTTGCTTTACCTGCTTCGTTTAGAGTAAAATCTGTGATTGTAAGTTATTAACTCGTTAAAGGCAGTGTCCGAGCAGGTTTGACAAATTCAAAAAGAACATAGACTGCTATAGCTCCCACTCCGATGAAGCTCTTCCCCGGCGCCCCTTCATTGTTTTTGAAGCGAGAATACGCTTTAGAAGCGGCGATTCAAGCGCCCCGGCCTTGCCAATCCTTCACACGATAGCCAGAGTGCGGCTAACACATACAGTCAATGCGTAAGTCCCACCACTACCTGCGTCTCAACCCGGGCTTCCAAAATCAAAATCAGAGGATTCCCAAATGCCCGTTTCCAATTTTTCATTCTCTTCAAGCTGCAGTTTCGAAATTAGCGGGGAAGATAACTTCAGATGAGCAAAATTTTATTCGAAATTTTGCCCGGACGAATTCAAATAAGGTATTCTAATGAACTATGATGATTCTAATAAACTATATAACCTCCGCTCGAATTTGTGTACGTAGACCGCGTTCTACATTTACAGAAAAAATATCCTTTTGCACATCAGGTTCATGAAGCTCGCACTCGCACTGATCTTGGATTTTTTCGCGACGTACAAGCAACATTCGCAGCCGTTCACATTCAGCCGTTATCGAAATTTGAGAGTAACCGAGACGATCTTCACCAGGGTTTGGCATGCGTTGATTTGAGGATTTTTGAAAGCGAAGTTTTCAATGGTTTTGCAAATCTTTACGAGGTCCCCACGACGTAAACTAGCAAGAAAACAACAACAATCTTCAGCAACAACAACATCAACAACAAGAAACAATTGTCGTCAGTCTAAACGACGCCTTGGCAGGCATGATTGAAGCCTATGTTTATCACTGCGCATGTTTATACTACTTTTGGTTTGGAGAAAAGAAGCAATGGTCTTGCTCTCTTCACTATAAGATAGATTTTTGAGAGTTCTAATCGTCCAAATCAAAAGGTCCAAAACTTATGTGAACTTTCCAATATTTGTGCTCCAACTTTTCAATGTAGTGTGGAAAATTATTGCATATACACACAGCCCAAATTCGATGTCATGTGTGTGCTGTAAATAAGCCATTTATTTAAGCACCATTTCAAATTTGGCGCACTTGGTGAGAAAGAATGCGTTACAGCATGTCAGTCATGTAATGGCTGCTGCATGTCGAAGGCGCAGAAGCAGTGTTAGTTGAGGGCCGCGAACGCTGCGCGCGCGTATATTCATCGTTTAAATCTTGCCTCTCATGCGCTCTGCGGCTGATGAATCCGCGGTCGCGCTCAGAGTTATTGCGCCTTCGTCATGCAGCAGCCTATATCTACCAGCTCGATAGTTAGCATATCCGAAGGTCACTAATATGTATATTTAGAAGTTTTTACAATACTCCCTTTTCTTCTACCCCCAAAACGAATCAGTCTGACGCCAAACCATCTATGCCGGACCCTGTGTGTACCCTGTGTATACATAATCAGAACAATTTTCATTCATGCCTGCCTGTGCCCTTAACGTTAATCTTCAAATCTTCGGTATTTTCTTTTTTTGAGAATTGACAATGACACCATGTTAAAGACTTGCACCACATGTCCATTTTCAAACGCTAATGCTATCAGTATCGCAAGAATGATATATTAATTTCCATAAATCCAAAGTATATCATAGATAACTTGTTTTTTATTGTTGTACCACAATTAATCTAAATCTCACCGAGAAGTTGTCCCAAAGCGATTCCCGCTTTAGGCTTTGGACTGTTGAGAACTGAAGCAATGGAACCGAATATGTCCGGAGCTCCATTACCAAATGCCATGAACGTCACACCCTTCAAGAAGAAAATTTTTTAAAGTAAAAATTAGCAATTCACGTCTATACTTACTGCTATGCTTTCGCTGATTTTCAGGTGTGCTACGATCGCTGCAATATTTGGTGAAAAGAAATCATCGGCAGTGGCGGACATTATAGCAAATAGTACGAGCAACCACACAACTCCCGCTATGATTGTTCCAATCTGAATGGCTGCGTACATGACATTTTCTTATATCAGCCTGCTGCATATGTTCTTTCCAAATTGAATTTTTGAATTCAAAATGCCAAATTCTTTCAAAGTCAACTTTTTTATAATCGTAATTTCTATGTGTTGAGCAGTTTTATGGTTATCAGAGAAATATCAACACTTGCTGTTAAGAAGAAGCAAGAACTCAAAAACTTTACAGCATTTTTCTTCAAACCTGTCTTTGTTACGTGGCCTGTCTTTGTTACGTGGTAATGCTCTCTTATGAGAACTGACAGGCATATAAGTTGATATGCACAGATAGAAGAATTTGCAGGTTATTTACCAGCTCGAAAGAGTCCATAGAGTCAAAGGTGCAGAGGGATTTTTAGCTGGTCAAAAAAGCCTCTTTTTCGCCCCGCTTCGGTGCATGTGCGCATACCTCTTTACAGATTATGAAAATTTTACACTTAAGAGCGGTGAATAAGAGTTGGGGGATGGGCCCTGTTAGCTATTGCTTTGCTCCAACACCTCCGACTTTGAACTCGTAATATTTCTCAGGTAGTTTCAGCTTTCATCTTTTTGCTTATACAATCAATCATTTGCACGAAGCCGTCGCTTGTGTGCTGATTTGTCCCTATCTCCAATGCGAATTTGGACATAGTTTCACACAGTGTCCGAAACTGATATGGTGGAAGGTACGTTTTTGCTGCCGCGTAAGCGAAAATAAAAAGACGGCTTGCTGTTTCAGGATGTGTGGGAGCGTTGTCAATAGCATTGAGGTAGCTGTCTACCTTGTCGTTGGTCTTCCATGTAGTATTCTACAGCGGCTTCATGTATGGCATGATCAGATCGGATACGGTTTTGCAATATTCTCTATGCTGGACGTAGAATTCCGCTCCCTCTTTTGTTGAATTGCATATGAGGAGCCCTAGCTTGTCTTGATTGATATCACTCGTAGCAGGACTCGCAGCGCAATCTCAGGAGTCACATTCTCTGAGCCCGCTGATTATGGAAAAGTGGTTTAAAATTTTGATATCTTTCGTCTTGCAATCTGCCTAGTCCTTTTCATTTTTGTTGTGACAAAGTTCATAGGAACATTGATGAAGAACCTACGGTTACCTCTCCCACCCCTCCATGAGCGTACAATCGAACCATTTCATATGATCATGTGTGCTATTGCACACACTGTCCACCTTTGGCGTTCCCATCCTTGATTCGAGAAAAACAACCCTTTAAGTAAGTGCTTTTAAAGCGTTCCTAGCTTTTCCTTTCCTTTTTAGTTATCAAACACTTTACTGATGTAATCGATAAAAATTAAGTCTCTTGCTTTTTTGCAATTGCAAATCCAGGATGAGGACACTAAAGGTGGACTGCGTGTGCAATGACACACATGATCATATGAGATAATTCGATGTAAGGCATTACATTAGCGTCGGTCCTTTCAAAAAAGGCACTTCTGGTTTGTCAATAGGAAGTTCGACAACTACATCTTCGTTTTCTTCTGTTACAGCAAGTGCTACTGTAAGCTTTTCGGCGTTATCTGAATATTAGAATTCCTCGTTGTCAGCAGAAGTGTATCCTACTCTCCCATCAAAAAACACGCAGATATGACGGATATGTGCAATCATTTTCTCCTCCTGGAGTGTGTGTGTGTTCCGTACAAAAATCCTTATAGATTGAACCGTCTGCATCCAACTCTGCAAACATACACGTCTGCGCGGTAGGTGTTGCAGGTACGGACTGTCCCAATTGGGATCAGGCCGAATCGTTTACGCAAATTTGCGCGCTCGCAGCGCTAGGTACTTGTGCTGCATATGCGCACGTCGGAGAGAGCGAAGCTGAAGTTGGGACGAACAAGCAGGTCGTAGGCGTGATGCGAAATTTAGCGGCACGGATTTCCGGCACGCCAATTTTTGTCTGACAAGGATTGGAACAGACGGTAATTATTGTCAAACTTCGATTCTTTAAGCGAAGTTCGAGTTAGGGGATTTACGGGATTGGTACAGGGGGGGGGGGGGTAAAACATGCCGGTTACAAGAGTAACATGATTTGGAGAGTACCCTTTATGTCCTATTAATGTTTTGCAAATGTTGACCTAAAGAGCTGAGAGGAGTTGGTACGTGGATAAGTGAACTGGCCAATCACGATGACATTGTTAAGGCAGAGGGACACAGAAGTGCGACAAGGAGACGGAATGTTGTATGGAGATAGGAATCTTTGCCACAGTGCATTGACGGAACTGGGCGAAACCAGGCACGGCAGCTGATAGTAGACCCATTCATACTTGCCGCAGGCTGCACGCATGGAGTGCCGATGCCACCGTATGGGGTTTCACGAACTTTTGCTGTACCGGTTTGTTTAATACAGTATGTCTTCATTTAGGACGTATCAACCCCGTTTCATGCGAAGTTGTTGATCTAACGTTACTCTCTCAATTCGTGTTTCTAACGAATTCTTCACGGAGTAAGAGTACTTACGAAGATTGGAATGCAGTGGCAAATGAATGCAACGCTGTATCTGTAAACTACCTATCAAGGAACCCTTTTTCAGAAAGCACAAGAAGAACGAAGATTTACACAATGAAAGAGAAAAAAGAAAGGTTAGAGTTTGAGCAATTCATTCCATGTTCAAGTCAATGCAGAAAAAATGTGAAATGATTTTTGCTCCAAAAATCGCTCAGGAATATTACCAATGTCTAACATGAGGGAAGCAAATAAAAAAGAGATGGTCAGATACGAAATGAATGGATATTTCGATGAATTATGGAAGTGCTCTAATTTGGTGCAGCCGCATAGCGGCGTCGACGCTATCTCCGGCGATTGCAGCGCACACCGCAAGCAGCAACGTACCTCGTGCGCCGCTGGCTGTAGTATAAATGAACTATGAGTTAAGAATTATCGTGCACAAGATAAAGGCGAACATAGTACGCGGACTGAACTGCATCCTCCGCTTGCGTTGAGCCTTCTACCTTTTTTATTAAATATTAGTTGACTACCCAACCCCCCGGGGCAGACAATAAAGTAAAGACTGTCATTTCCCATTAACACAACATTTCCTCGTCTTTCTCACTTGCACACCTGTCCATTAAGTACTCGTAACAAGCATTCTCACTTTTACTCCTCCCCTTTTCATCACTTTCACCAAATCGCAGCTCGCCAGCCAAGGTCCAGCGTGTTATTGCAATACGGAACCTTTTACGACATCCCACTTGAAGGTACCCATCGGTACGCCCCCTCCTCTGCCGCCTCATTTACTCCCCCCCCCCCCCTCCATTCCAAGAGTTTGCGGTAGCCTGCGTGAACCAATGTGTCAGATCACCTCAGAGAATGCCAACAGACCTCAATTGAAAATAATAAGTCAGAGGAAGAAAAATCTACTCACACATTGGGAGATAATGCAAGTAATTGTGCTTAAAAAACTCAAAATAATCCTGTGTAGATTGGGTACATAGGAAAGTTCTGCAAAGATTTAACTGTGCTTTTTCGTAGTTTCGAAAAGATGGATGGAAAGGATGAATTGACAAAGAAGGACATCATCTTCAGTCTGATACCGACATGTAAACTGTAATCACCTAAATGTTGAATTATGAACGGGAAATGGAGTAAGATAGCAAGTAAGAAGAATTAAGGAACACAGAGCAATTCAATTCAGTCGATATATTACTTCATAATAATGTATTTTATAACGACAGGCAAGAAATCTTTCGCGATTCACAGTTCATGAGTGTTTGGATAACTCATTGTTTTAGTGAATGTACTGAAAGGCGTTCATTATGATTCTAAAATAAGAACGCTTCGGACTATAATGATAGTCTTGGGTTCAATCCCCGTCAGGGATAGCCACAGTTTTTTCTGTCAAACTGGATTTCGTTTTTGAAGTTAGAAGCAACGGGGATATCGTTATTATAAGGTCCTGGGAGAAGCGCCAAAAAAGACGAACATGTCAGGTTTTATGAGTTGAACGTGTTCTTTCGCAAGCGCGCGGATTTTAAACGCAGAACTCGAACAAACAAGTGGCTTGTTTACAGCGCACAAACAATCGCATGGCTTCGAATTTGTGCTACTTGTATACAATTTTACTCCAAACTATGTCATTTAAAAAGTTCCAAAAATTTATGTGCCCTAATATTCGTTCCCGAATTTGTTGGTTTCTAGATCAACGTCAAACCAACTGGGTTGGTTTGAACCATAAAAATCGGAGAGTTCACATAAGTTTTGAGCCTTTTTGTTTTGGACGATTAGAACAGTCAAAAATCTATCATACAGTGAAGAGAGCGAATCAAACCACTGCCTCTTCTCTTTTTTGGAGCCAAAAGTAGGGCAAATCTACGCGTTGATAGATATCGCGTTGATAGATGCACCAAACACAGGCTGTGTCCTTTGAACTATGTTGCGAAAAATGCATCGCCAGATTGTTGAGGCCACAGATTTGATTGGCCTAGAAGGTTTTCGACATTGATCAAGTCGAAATGTTTTCTTCTTTGCTTTGTTGTTGTAACAGATGCCTCAAAATGCGTTTTTTTTTTGCTTTTTTATTGTTATTTTGATTGGATAGAAGTTCCCCCACTAATTTTTAGTTCAAGGGGAGCTTCGTAATTTTCCGCGAACTCATGGGGGACTTTGTTCCCAAAAACGCTACAAACCAACGCGTGCCGGCCCTGATCCCCGTCTGCGAGCAATTCTTTGCAGAGAGGAAGAAATGCCCGCAAAGCGAAAGAATGTGTACAATTATAAAAGTTATTTTCTTTAATCCCACCCCCCCACAATAATCGGCCGCCTCATAGTGGCATGGGGGTGATACTGGGTGTCGAACTGCGATACACCGCCGAGTGTATGCTCTGGCAGGGCCTCCGAAACTGTGAAGGAATTCGACGTTTTCGGTCTTGGCCGGATGTCTAGCTAAGAGCCGGCCAGGCTAGATTCACCGCCGTCTGATTTTTTGGTCGCTAGGCAGTCCTCTCCGCTTCATACACGGATCAGCGATCGCCCCTTAGAAATCAAGAGTAGGCCTAGTAA